GCGGTTTCAGTTTCACCTTCCACAGGAGGGGTACTTTTTCATCTATAAACAGAATGTGATGGATGATGATAGGACCTTCCGGTGGCACAATGTTGGGCAGGGTGATACCATTGAGATCTTCAATGGTAGTGTCACTGGTGGATCTTAGAATGCTTCCCTCTCTTAGTTTTGTTTCCAAGTTGTTAGCTAGGGTATATTTTGAAATAAGGATTGGCAATTTTGCATTCACCGATCTAGATAGATTACCTTTAGTACGCTTGGAACCTTACTAGAGCAGGACGAGTGATTATATAATGGAAGAGATCAGGGCCGGCCCAACACCGTAGAAAAAAAAAAAAAGTGAAAATCAAAACTGAGTTCATCTGGATGTAATTGTTTGAAAATAAGTCATAAAAGTAAACTTATAAGGGGATAAGTTCATGTTTAAAATTATATGTAATAATTTAAATCCACTTTTTTTTTATCTAAAAAATACCTTTATTTAAAAGGAAGTTAATATTTTTTCTCTCATATCTACCTATATCTATATATAGGTTAAAAGTTTGACTAATATTAAAATTTTTCCCTTCTCTTATTTATTTATATCTATATATAGGGTTAGGTATATATATAGTAATATTAAAAAAAAATAGTATCATTCAAATACAAAAAAAGGTTGCTATGAATTTGAATAGTAAAATTCAAATTCGTGTTACTATTTTTTTTTATTAAATTACTGTTCATGTTAGTGCTTTTGCTATCTATATTATTGTTCATGTACTATTGTTGTTGAGCATGTTATTGTCTTTGTTGAACATATTATTACTATTATTTTCCTAAATATTAATATTCAATGTTACTATTTTTTTTTTGAATATTACTATTTTTTGTATTTGAATAGTACTATTTTTTGCGTTTGAATTTGAGAAAAATAATTATTGTTAAGTATGTTACTATTTTTGTTGAACATGTTACTGTTGTTATTTTTTTAAAATATTAATATTAAATATTTCAATTTTTTTATATTTAAATGTTACTATTTTTTTGTGTTTAAATGTACTATTTTTTGTGTCCAAATGATAACTTTTTTTTGTATTTGAATATTACTATTTTTTATTTTTAATGTTACTCTCTCTCTCTCTCTCTTTATATATATATATATATATAT